ACAAGTACGGCGAAATGCTTCCATATTTATCACAATAGTGTCAAAAGTATGTCACTATCAAGTAGTGCTAGTGGAATGCACAATTCAACGTTGGACGTTAACGAAATACAGAAGGAGGATTTCAAGGAAAATTTAAACGGTAGTCAGACGTGCCTTAACTAAAAAATCTTGCCGTTGTGGAAAATGATGATGGCAGGACGGGGAAGTACGACGATACAAACCTTTGGTCAATATATTGCTGGAAATAATTGCGCAGGTGGCTTGGTACCTTCGTTGCGCAAAGCAGTTTGGTCTTAACAAATACTAGCTGCAGGCGCTTCTGGCACCCAAATGATAAGGCATGCAAAGTCTGAATGCTCATAAATTTGTTTGAGCACGCTGAACCAAGTCAGTTTTAACCTTCTACACGATGAGTTAGAAGGACAGCGGGAATGGCCCTTACCATGCTCTTGCAAAGGCTCGGCTACGGATACGAGTAAGTGAAGTCGAGAAAATATAACCAGCGATCAAGAGTTTGACGTCCTCAAGGACCCTGTCATTGCACCCAGCTACCACCTGGTTATCTCCAGTTGCCTGGCAACACTGACGCAGACGAGGACTGCCTCGGAAACAGACTCGAACTAAAACACATTCGCCTACATACCTCTCAGATAACTGACTGCCACAGTATGCATCGCTTGGTCAACAGTGCAAAGATCAGCAGTCTTCGTGGTGACCAACCTTCAGAGACTTGCGTTTTGAGGCCGCATGCTTTGAAAGGCACGACTACAACCAACACTGAAGTAAACAGTCAGAGGTACCAAAAGGGCGTTGGCTAATAGCGGTAGAAGAAGGGTGTGGCAGACTATGAAGATGCACCATTTATGAAATCAGTTGTTTCAACGATCAAAGACGAACAAGGTGTGCAGATAGCGTCCATATTGAGCACGATGATTCTGTGGAAGGGGTATTTTGCGCAGATTCTGAACTCTACAGGTTCACCCTACACACCCGAACGCCGTCTAACATGAAGACGCTCCGGCGCCTGACTACAACTAACTGCAGTGAACCATTCACTGAGGGACCATAATCTAGCTGCTGGCTACGTGGCGCGTCTACAGGTAGCGGTTAATGGAATGGCCTCCGGGGAAGTTTAACTGTGAAATAAGCAGACTCCTAAGCCTGGCCACTAAGCAGTCGCGGACCAGCGGCGATAGTGTTACTGGGGCGCGGGGGGTTGAGGTCTGGCGCACTGACTGCCTTATAAAATGCCGCAAGTCCCAATGAGGACATTGTGACATGGCGAGCGTGAACTGCAATTAAATAGGTTTGGTTGCCACCAGTGCCCCGTGGTTAGGTTCTTGAGCCAAAATGTTAGAGGAGAAGACCTCGAACAAAGAATCCGAGCGGTTGATGGGAACCGGCCTGTATTAAAAATCCCCAAGATTCCTCATGTAAAATGTCTACTCTACTGAGGAGACTCTTAGGGTGAGAATGAAGCTGAAGATCAACAAAGCACCTGATGAAGGTTATATCACAGTAGAAATAGAGAAATATTGTTCGGTAACAGTATTTGGCAGGCTTTAGGGTCTCCTGAACAAAATGGGACAGAAAAAGACTTAGTACCCAGACCAGACCAGACATTGGCGTATCCCTGAGTCCCAATAACAGCGACAGATAATTACATAAGAACTACTATGACATAAATCACCTCAAACCTGAACAACCATCCCGTTAAGTTACTTCCGCTTGTAGTGCGACGCACTGGCAAGAACCAGCACGGCCTCCGGTCAAGAAGTCGGGGTAGTGATCACCACTTTTCGTCTCCTCAAACCCTTGAATACCACCACCATTATCGGACTCGACCGTCTGATGACACGAGGCGCTGATTAGGTACAACCGAGTTTGTGGTGGATCGAACCTCCAAGGGGGGAAGCGCTAATATACCAGACCAAATAATTGCGTAACCAGAGGGGAATCACAGCAGACGCACCTCCGTCGCGTTCCCATCCGCCTCACGGCGGTCAAGGTCTGTTACACCAATCGTCCTACAGGGCTACAACACACACATACACTGTGTAACCGGACGTGCCCGGACAAGGACTGGTTCAACTCAGTTGAGGTTTTAGTAAATGTGGCACGCAAGAGATAGGGCGATTACCTAGTCAGTCATTGTACCAAAGTTCACCTACAGTCGCCCTGGACTAGTCATATCATTGAACTACAGTGTGCATGGGGGAGAGAACGAAGCTGCTACAGAACAAATCTCGAGCTTACTTCAGGCAGAAGTGCCCGTTAAGCAGGATGAACAAACCTCCACTTCCACCACTCTTGAGTAAAGTAGTGAAACCTGTGGAGACCACGAGTTTGAGTCACAGAAAGAAAAACAAGTAGCCTAAGGATAATAGTTTTCGCTCGAATTGCCTACGTTTATATTACTGAAAACCAGTTGCCATTTTCCTGATTCCCCCTCAATCTTCGTAAAAGGAAGACCTAAAGGGATATTTGTTCGTACCTCTACATATGAAGAAAAAATTGTGGGTGGAAAGGAAAACTCGTTTTCACATTGCATTTTACTGCGTACTGCCAGCT